TTCCCATGGGTGGCCTTCTTCGCCAGCAAGTAAGCACTCTCCCAAAAAGACCAGCTTCTCTCTCTTCGGTCCAGCTTCCCTTCAGCCGCATCCGCACCAGGCATTTAAAGCCCCCTTCCACCACTTTGAACACCCAACGGCTCCCGCCCTCCGAATCCTGGGAACCGTAGTTCTTCCAGGGTGCTGAGTGTGATTAGGAGATCCCGCCCCCAGAACTACGATTCCCAGAGTTCCCTGGACAAGGGGTCAGATGGTAACTGCTCTGGGAGAGGACTAGTGGGGGGTGCCTCTTGACAACTTGGCACCCACAACAAACTACAGTTCCCAGGATTCCACTTGCCAGTGGTTGGTAGCGAGGAACGTTACTGCCTCTGGCTGCAAGGGCGGGGCATAGCTAGCAGCCATCGACATCCCTCTTTTAAAGTGGGCCGTCCCTGTCTCCTGTGGCAGGGAGTTCCACAGTTCAACTAAAGAGGTGCTTTCTTTTGTCTGCTTTTACTCTTCCAATCTTTAGCTTCTAGTGTCATGAGGGATGGAAACCTTAATGTGCACACTCTGTCCATGCCATGTGTACTTTGATATTCTAGCATGACACCTCTTTCCCCCCCTCTATACCAGGGGTAGGCAACCTAAGGCCCAGGGGCTGGATCCGGCCCAATCGCCTTCTCAATCCGGCCCACGGACGGTCTGCGAATCAGCGTGTTTTTATATGAGTCGAATGTGCTTTTATTTAAAATGCATCACTGGGTTATTTGTGGGGCATAGGAATTCATTCATTCCCCCCCCCAAAAAAAATAGTCCAGCCCCCCACAAATGAGAGGCACAAATACAAGATGGGGGACACCTGGCTTGAGAGCAGTACATGTGAAAAGGATCTAGGAGTCTTGGTTGACCACAAACTTGACATGAGCCAACAGTGTGATGCGGCAGCTAAAAAAGCCAATGCAATTCTGGGCTGCATCAATAGGAGTATAGCATCTAGATCAAGGGAAGTAATAGTGCCACTGTATTCTGCTCTGGTCAGACCTCACCTGGAGTACTGTGTCCAGTTCTGGGCACCACAGTTCAAGAAGGACACTGACAAACTGGAACGTGTCCAGAGGAGGGCAACCAAAATGGTCAAAGGCCTGGAAACGATGCCTTATGAGGAACGGCTAAGGGAGCTGGGCATGTTTAGCCTGGAGAAGAGGAGGTTAAGGGGTGATATGATAGCCATGTTCAAATATATAAAAGGATGTCACATAGAGGAGGGAGAAAGGTTGTTTTCTGCTGCTCCAGAGAAGCGGACACGGAGCAATGGATCCAAACTACAAGAAAGAAGATTCCACCTAAACATTAGGAAGAACTTCCTGACAGTAAGAGCTGTTTGACAGTGGAATTTGCTGCCAAGGAGTGTGGTGGAGTCTCCTTCTTTGGAGGTCTTTAAGCAGAGGCTTGACAACCATATGTCAGGAGTGCTCTGATGGTGTTTCCTGCTTGGCAGGGGGTTGGACTCGATGGCCCTTGTGGTCTCTTCCAACTCTATGATTCTATGATTCTATTCTATGATTCTAAGTTCTGAGGGACAGTGGACCGGCCCCCTGCTGAAAAAGTCTGCTGACCCAATACCAAAAAAAGCCCCAATGTATTCTTTCTTTAATGGGGCAATTGCTTCTTCCTGTTCATCATTTTGATAGCCTTTTTCTGAACCTTTTTGCTCCTCTACAGAATTTCCTCTTTTTTTGAGGTGCGGACAGTAATAATAATAATAAAATAACAACAACAACATCAACATTTATATCCCGCCCATCTGGGTGGGTTTCCCCAGCCACTCTGAGCGGCCAAGTACAGCTGCACTCTAGATCACGACATGGTCTCACGAGTCCCGTTATGCCCATTTTACAGGTGGGGAGAGCAGAAGCTGAGGCACAGTGCTGTTCACCCAGAGAGTCTCTCCCATTCTAAGCTGCCATTTCAAAACTGCAAACCTCTTTCCCTTCTTGCAGGAGGATCAGAGCCGGCACCGAACTTACCTGGGACTATAACTACGAAGTTGGCAGCGTGGAGGGCAAGGAACTTCTGTGCTGTTGCGGTGCAATCGAATGCCGTGGACGTTTGTTGTAAGGTTTCTTTCCCCCGCTGCCCACCCCCGCCCCTTTTTTTAGGCAGGGGGGGGGCGTATTTCATGAATTTTTTAAAAGAGTTTTTTTTTAAAGCCCTTTTGGGTCAGTGGACCCCCCCTCCCCTTACCCACTTCTCACACGTCTCGTTCTCTGTTTGCGGCCTCATGCGTTTTCGGCGCCGCGTTGTCGAGGGCATGGTTCTGTGTATGGTCTTTTGCAGAGGACCGCCCCCCCTCCTTTCGTCGTCGTAAAGCAATAAAACCATGTTTACTCTCGATTTCAAAAGACAGTCTGCTTCTGAACCTTTTTTTTAAAAATATATATATATATAACGTAGGGCACAGCCATGGAGGTTTTTATGGGGAACTATCTTGGGCGCTGATCCAGCGATTATTCAGGATCAAGGCCCAGATACGGCTCCCGTGGGACTTTCCATCTGACTCTTGGAAGGAGCAAGGAGAGCTTTCTGTGTCTGTTTATCAAAAGAAAAGCTGGCTTTTCCCAGAGCGCGGTTTAAACGACAAAGGTGGCGTGGCGTGCCATCTGCAATCCATTATCTCTTTGGCGCATGGGTGAGTGTGGTTCAAGCCCACTCAGGGGCAGCTGTGGGCCAGATTCCTTCATTGCAGGGGGTTGGGCTAGTTGATCCTCGGGATCCAACTCTGCGATCACCTGGAGATGCCAGGGATCGATGCAGCGGTGGCTCCCTGAACGTGGATGGCTTTCAACCGTTAAGACAAATTCATGGACGACACGGTCTCCTTCCCTACTGCCGGGAGGCAGTAAAAATGCCTCGGAATGCTTCAGGAGAAGAAAAAGTGAAGGACTAAACCATGGGTTGGCAAACGAAGGCCCATGGGCCAGATCAGGCCCAGTTGCCTTCTGGATCCGGCCCACGGATGGTCTATGAATCGCCGCATGGATTGGCAGCGCACGTGTTCCTTCCCTCTCCCCCCCCTTGGCGGCGGCACCTCCTCCCTCCCTCCTCCTGGCTTCTCCCTGCCCTGCCTAGAGAAGGGCGCTGGGCTTTGTTGGTGCCAGCAGCTGCAGCAGCGCTCGAGCGGCCGCCATTTTGAGCATCCCCTCTCCGGAACCCTTTTGCACGCCGCTCATCGTCCCCCCGCCGCTGCCAGCCCCTGCCGCTCGCAGGACACAGGCAAGCAGCCACCAGGGCTTGTCCATAGCTGTCGACGTTTTCCTTTTTTTAAGGGAAATTCCCTTATTCCGAATAGGATTCCTCGCAAGAAAAGGGAAAGGTTTGACAGCTATGGGCTTGTCCGGTGCTGTGGAGGAGGGGAGAGTCGTGGGGGGGTGCGGCTTATAGTCCAGCCCCCGACAAGGTCTGAGGGACAAGGGGACCGGCCCCCTGCTGAAAAGGTTTGCTGACCCCAGACATAACCCTACACATATGTAGAGTCTCTACAGTCGCCTTGAGTGCCTCCTTCCCGCAACTCTAGCAACCAAGCTGGTGTCAAATGTCTTGCTCTGCTTTCATTTGGACAACATCAGCCAGGCCGAAGGGGGTGGGGGGTGTTCTTGTCGTCTGGGTGGCCCAGGACCACCATGTGCCATGTGCGTGGCAGTCTGACTTCACCCCCCGAGGCGCACTCCATTGTCTGTTTGAAACAGACAGGTGCAAACAGCAATATCAGTTCCAGAGAATCGCATGTAGGGGGTCGTTTTGCTGCTGTGTTCGGGTCCAGATCGTGAGCTTCCCATCAGGACATCTGGAGAAAGGGTGTTGGACTGGATCGGTCCCTTTGGGCCTGATCCAGCTGCAGGGCTCGTCTGGTATTCTTACGGAGCCTCCTGGTCCAGAGGAAGTCTATCTTGATTTCTAAGTTCTTAAGGGTGTTTAATGGGACGTGGGTGGCGCTGTGGGTTAAACCACAGAGCCTAGGACTTGCTGATCAGAAGGTCGGCGGTTCGAATCCCTGCGACGGGGTGAGCTCCCGTTGCTCGGTCCCTGCTCCTGCCAACCTAGCAGTTCGAAAGCACGTCAAAGTGCAAGTAGATAAATAGGTACCGCTCCGGCGGGAAGGTAAACGGCATTTCCGTGCGCTGCTCTGGTTCGCCAGAAGCGGCTTAGTCCTGCTGGCCACATGAGCTGTACGCCGGCTCCCTCGGCCAATAAAGCGAGATGAGTGCTGCAACCCCAGAGTCGGCCACGACTGGACCTAATGGTCAGGGGTCCCTTTACCTTTAATGGTGTTTAGCCCTTGGGAGAACAGTCCAGCTTTAGCCTGACCAACTGTGGCTTATTATTGAAGCGGAGACCGGGGTGGGCGGGCGAAGGTTGGATGTACCCAACTGAATCTGGTTCACTCCAACAGGAATAAATTCTCTCGCTTGTCCCGTCTTACCCCAACTGTTTCCCAAAGCGATCCCAAAACATACGGCCACGTGCCCCCCTGCAGGGTTGGCGTTAAGAATTGCCCCACTAATTTATGCTGGAAGTGTTTGCAAACACCATTGTGCCATTTAAAAGCACCCATTGTTTTGTGAACTTTCCCAAAGGTAATCCAATCACCAGGAAAAAAAAATTTAACAGAAATTTATTAGCCTTATTTAGGTTTTAATATATTTTAACTTTTTTTCTTAAAAAAAAAAAAGAACACACATTTTGGTCTGAAGATAGGTTAATGGTCCTTTTTTGTAAACCTCCCCCTACCCCCCCCAAAAAGCCCTAAGGCTAGGCTAGGGAAAGAATAATTGCAATTTGATCCTACAGGTATAGCAGATATTTTTCAAAACTGTCTTTCTCTGGAGTTTTTATTCCAGCTAAAGCCAAAAGATTTTTCTTGTTTTGGTGCTTGAAAAACCTTATCTAATAAATTAAAACAAAAATCAGTGTCTCCCCCTCTGGGAGCGGTAAAAGGCAAGTAGACTACAGAAAAATGGGTGTACCTCTGTGGGTGTGGTTTTTTTTAATAGGATGAGAAAAGGATTGTGGAGTTGGGGGCAAAAGGAAAGTATTACATTCCTAAGAGAAGGAACGCAGGGGACTAAAGTGAAATAGTGTGCATTGAATTAAATTCTCTACAGGAGGAAGGTGGTGCAGTTTAGAGAAAGCTCTTTTAAGAAAAGGAAAATAAAGACCATCACTGAGTTTTCAGCCTTCTGGCATCATTGACCTATCTGAATTAGCGTGCCGAAACATCTCCCCCACCCCAAACAAACTAAAATACCCAGGAAAAAAGGTGAGTAAATCCTCCATGATCTCATCTGAACATGATCTCCAAAAAAATAAAACCCTCTACCTGTGATTCCCTCGCCTGTGGACTCACCGTAATCCAATCGCTTCTTTAATTAAATACTTTTTTTGCAAATTAAAAACCTCTTCCTATTGGGCTGGGGGGGTCAGTAAAGGCAGAGGTCAAAACTCCAGGGCCTTACAAGTGTGTGGGGCACTGGGCATACCTTGAGGACTAGAAGACGTATTTATCCATCTCCCTCTCGCCGTTTCTTTCGCTGCAGCTAATAAAACAGAGCCAGGCTTTGCAAAGGAGTAATATGGCTTCTACGATAACCAAAAACGGATATCGAAAGGCTTTGGAGTTAAGGCAGGACCGGTGGTGGGACTCCTGGCCTGGTTTTTAAAAAGGTATCAAGACACAGTTGGGTAGATGTGCTCAGAGGAGACGGGAACTGTAGCGCCGCACCGACGGCGCCTGCTTGACTCAGTTTCCTGACTCTGGCAGAGCGAAGGCGCAGGGGTTGTCCCTGTAAGCGGCAAAGGGGGACTGGGGCGGAAACCCCAACCTTACTCTCAGCTACAGCCCACCCGCTTGTACCCAAAATATTTGTGTCCATGGTGTAGGATATAGCAGATCTGGGATGGGGGGGGGAAGGAGGCTTGAGAGCTGAGCCCAGCTTTCCTGACATGTTTACAAGCAGGAGGGCCTTTGGCACGGGGAAAAGAGGCCTCGATGAGGACTAGACACTTGACAAGCGGAGTGCTTTCCCCGCCAGTGTTGGTTCCTTTTGAGTGTGCTTGGAAGGAAAAAAAGACGTGTGTCTTTTCTGGGGTGGGGCGGAGAAGTTGCTCTCTGCTTGCCCAATTTTGTGGAGGGGGGGTTTTGGGTGGGTGAGGAGGGGGTTGGCAACGTGTGAGGGGTCTCAGGGCTGCTTTCCAAGGTGGATTCAGGACAGGGGCTCAAGGAGGGAAGGGCAACCATGCTCCCCCAACTCTGCCGTTCTTCCCACACATAAAGGGGAGAGAAAAACGAGCCCTGTTTGCAAGCTCCAGAAAAGGGCCGCTCGCTTTGCCCCAAGGAAAAGCGGCGAGTGTCTCAGGATCCCGTCTTGAAATGAACCCGGCGATTCTTCGGGTACTTGGAGGGTCCAAGGATGGAGAGAGGAGCTGGTGGGGAGGCAGGGGGCGGTGCTTCCAGCTGCAGCTCCACAGAGGAAGTTTTGTTTTCTTTTTGGCTTCAAAAATGAAAATAAAGATCTGGGTTCTGGTGGCAGACGGGAGTCCCCCCTGGAAGCGGAGGAGGCCGGGGTACCGAAAATGGACGTCGAGCGATCAATTGGTTTTCACTCGGTGGTTATTGTTCAATACGGGGTGCCCGTTGCTTAGGGGGCCGTTCTTTGTGGGTGCTGAGGCAGCTTTCTCTTCTTCCAACTCCTCTTCCTCCTCCCCGGTGCTGTCTGTCTCGTCACGGTCGCTGCGCTCGTCCTCCACCACCTGGAGGGGAGAGAAACCCAGGTCAGGAAACGAGAGACGACTCGGACACTTCCCTGGTCCTGAATGGGGTAACTGGGCCCCTGAAGGACCAGGTGCGCAGCCTGGGAGTCATTCTGGACTCACTGCTGTCCATGGAGGCGCAGGTCAAATCTGTGTCCAGGGCAGCTGTCTATCAGCTCCATCTGGTACGCAGGATGAGACCCTACCTGCCCGCAGACTGCCTTGCCAGAGTGGTGCATGCTCTAGTTATCTCCTGCTTGGACTACTGCAACACGCTCTACATGGGGCTCCCTTTGAAGGTGACCCGGAAACTGTAATTAATCCAGAATGCGGCAGCTAGACTGGGGACTGGGAGTGGCAGCCAAGACCACATAACACCGGTCTTGAAAGACCTACATTGGCTCCCAGTACGTTTCTGAGCACAATTCAAATTGTTGGTGCTGACCTTTAAAGTCCTAAATGGCCTCGGTCCAGTATACCTGAAGGAGCGTCTCCACCTCCATCATTCTGCCCGGACGCTGAGGTCCAGCTCCGAGGGCCTTCTGGTGGTTCCTTCACTGTGAGAAGCCAAGTTACAGGGAACCAGGCAGAGGGCCTTCTCGGTGGTGGCACCCGCCCTGTGGAACGCCCTCCCAGCAGATGTCAAAGAGAACAACAACTACCAAACTTTTAGAAGACTCCTGAAGGAAGCCCTATTTAGGGAAGCTTCTAATGTTTGATGTATTACTGTGTTTTAATATTTAGTTGGAAGCCGCCCAGAGTGGCTGGGGAAGCCCAGCCAGACGGGCAGGGTATAAATAATAAATTATTATTATTACTACGTAGGGCTCTTAAGGCAATCAGGAAGTTAATGCGTATCTGAAGAAGTGTGCATGCACATGAAAGCTTATACCCAGAACAAACTTAGTTGGTCTCCAAGGTGCTACTGGACAATTTCTTAATTTTATTTCGACTGCGTCAGACCAACACGGCTAACTACCTGAATCTAGGAAGTTAAGTGTGACCAAGAGACGGCGACAGCGGAGCAGGAAATTAAACGTGACCAAGAAATGGGAGTCTTTGGCCCTGGTGGTACTCCTGCTTTTGGAAATCCTTCCCCCGACACAGTCGTTAAAATCTTTTAGGTATACCAGGCTCGTTCCAACCCACCCACCAGAGATTTTAATCATTATTCATCGGCTTTTAGTTGCTGTCTGTTCCCTGTGAGGTTATTATTATTATTTTCTGATGTTTTTAAGCTACCTTAAGGGCCAGTTGGTGGGAGAGCCTTTTTGAAATGAAAATAACTTCTTAACTACATAATTCTGGAGATTAACCCTTCGCCCCCCTTTGCATTCCCGCTTTGAGAGATGGAACTGGAAATATTCAATATTCAGAATCTGATTTAGCTTTCCAAAGGGTGCTGGTTTTTTTTACAGTTACTTTTATTCACTGTAATTTATTCACGTCTTGCCTTTCCTGATGCAAGCATGTGATGGGCTTGCAATGAAGCTTTAAAGTGCAGCGGAAGAAAATAAAACCTACAAGTAGCTTTTAAAATCAATCTGATGGGTAATCGGGCAGCCTGCGGCAATTAAAAGCCACTCGCGGCCTGAAACGGCTTTTCTTATAACGGAAGTGTTGAGGGTAAGCAATCCAGCAGATCTTTTCCACATAAAATCCCAAGTTCTAACCCACAGAAATTGCTTCTGGGCGCGGCAGAATCTAGCATCCTGAACAACTCAGCTTCCGTTACCAGGAAGAGGAAAACATGAAAGTAAGTTGCTAGCCCTCATGAAGACAAGAATAGGGTTTATAAATTTTTTGGCTCCACAGGACAGGTCCTTATCAGGGTTGGCCCCCTGGACAAATATTGACAGGTGGGCAGGCCCATCCACCTGGTGCCGTAATGGCGTCAGGTGATTCAGAACCCCATAGCCCATAATTGGGACTTCAAACCGCCACTAGGGCATGACCAAAAGGGAGTTTCGGCCCTTAGAAATGAGTGCTTGAGTTTTGATTTTTCCTCATCCCTCCTTGTACCTTTCCCCTTGTATGTTGTTGGGGATTTTTTAAAGACTGTAGGCCTTCAGGTAGGTAGTGTCTTGATTGTACGTAAGCCGCCTCCCCCCATGGGAGCCTTTTCGACTAAAGAGTTGGGTGCAATTGCTCCGAGCAAGTAATAAATCATGGGTGGGCAAACTAAGGCCCGGGGGCCAGATGCGGCCCAATCGCCTTCTAAATCTGGTTTGTGGACAGTCCGGGAATCAGCATGTTTTTACATGAGTAGAATGTGCCCTTTTATTTATAATGCATCTCTGAGTTATTTGTGGGGCATAGGAATTTGTTCATTTCCCCCCCTTCAAAATACAGTCCTGCCCCCCACAAGCTCTGAGGGACAGTGGACCGGACCCCTGCTGAAAAAGTTTGCTGACCTTTGTAATAAATCAATAAGGAAGGGCTTTTGTTCTGAATCTTGCCAAATTGGCAGGGTTTAACTGCGGCTCATCCGCAGCCGGCGCAGGACTGAACCCCACCCACCAGAGTGGCATCAGCTACTGGGCCAATAGCTTGGAGAAAAAGATTGGCCCAGCTGGAATCATGACGGGCCAAAAGTGGCCTACAGGTTGCCGACCCCGGGGTTAGGAAAACCAGGGTTCAAAATCCCCATTTGGCCACGAAGCTCACTGGATGTGACCTGCCGGTCTCTTAGCTTGGCCTCCCTTTCAGGGTTGTTGTGGAGAATACGGAAAGTCGGAGAACCACGCAAGTAAGCTACCTCGAGTCCCTTTGAGGAAAAGTGGGACAGCAATAAATAGATATATTTTAAACACTGCCCTCTGGGTTAGTTGGTTGGTTTGTCTCTCTCTCAAACACCAAAAAAAGAGTTGGTTTTCTCTTATACCTCATACTAGACAAAACACGAATTGGGGAAGGGTACCAAACCCACCCCCCTAAAACCCAACTTGCCTTTCCAGTTATGAATTTCTGGGCCATCCGGATAATGAGGTACGCCCAAAATATGTGCAGGGACTGCAAAATCACCATCATGAGGTTGAAGAAATAGTAGCCGAAGAAAGCTGGGTATATTTCCAAGGGGTACACCATGGTGCAATGGAGGATCCTATAAAATTCAACGTAAGGAATCAGATCAAGACAAATCAGAATACAGAAACCACATTGGTAGTTTACCCGCTCGCAGAGCTACAATTCCCAGCGCCCTTAAACTACAATTCCCAGGGTTCTTTGGGGGCAAACCAGGGGATTTAAATGCCCTTTCAAGGAACAGCATGGGTGTGGCCTAATAGCAACTGGCAGGTTATATTCCCCTATGAACTGGCCCACATTTATTCATTAGTCGCGACTCCTGTATTGCAGAGGGTTGGACTGGATTACCCTTGGGGTCCCTTTTGCCACTCTATACTCTTTTGTGCTTCTGTTTCGCCCCCTCCCGCCCATTCTCTCTCTCCCAACAGCTTCTCAACAGGCAGGTGTTCAACAGGTAAACCTCAGTCACACGCCGCGCACGTAACTCTCACCAGAACGGAAGGATGATGAGTCGCGTGACGATGAAGATGGTGGCGAAGACGATGAAGATGTTGTTGGACATGTTCTTCCAACCTGCGTAGTTGAACATTTTCGCCGACTGCAGAGACACAGTAAAAGGAGGAGGGAGGCAATATTTACTGGCAGCCCTGAGCTCAGGGGTAGGGACCGGCAGCGAGAGACGGAAGATGCTCTGGCTATGAAGAGCATGATGGAGCATCTCCTTCTCGTGGGCAGGATGTGGTCTGTGGGGGTCCCTCTACCTGTCTCATGGGGGTCTCTTCCAGGGCCGGATTTAGGTTTGTGAGGCCCTCAGCTCCTGAAGGTAATGGGGCCCTTTATATGTCCAGGTGTCCTTTGTCAACAACAAATTGTCACTGTTTTTTGTGTTGAATACAGTGGTACCTCGGGTTAAGAACTTAATTCGTTCTGGAGGTCCGTTCTTAACTTGAAACTATTCTTAACCTGAGGTACCAGTTTAGCTAATGGAGCCTCCTGCTGCTACAACTGCACAATTTCTGTTCTCATCCTGGGTTAGCGGAGTCTGAAACCTGAAGCGTCTGTAACCTGAAGCGTCTGTAACCCGAGGTACCACTGTACTGTATACGCTATATGGCAATTCTAATACGTATCTAAAGCCATTTGCACATAACAAAATATGTATTTTATCAAAGTAATTGTTGAAAATCCATGCAGAATGTAGGCAGCATATATATAAAAGGTAAAGGGACCCCTGACCATTAGGTCCAGTCGTGGCCGACTCTGGGGTTGCAGCGGTCATCTCGCTTTACTGGCAGAGGGAGCCGGCGAACAGCTTCCGAGTCATGTGGCCAGCATGACTAAGCCGCTTCTGGCAAACCAGAGCAGCGCATGGAAACGCCGTTTACCTTCCCGCCGGAGTGGTACCTATTTATCTACTTGCACTTGACGTGCTTTTGAACTGCTAGGTTGGCAGGAGCAGGGACCGAGCAACGGGAGCTCACCCCGTCGTGGGGATTCGAACCGCCGACCTTCTGATCGGCAAGTCCTAGGCTGTGTGGTTTAGACCACAGCGCCACCCGTGTCCCTACCCTATATATAGAAAGGAGCAAACCAGTGATATTTTAGGGAGCAGGTGGGGCCTATGACTTGCATCATAGGAGCCTACACAACACAAAACACTCTTGATGTATATAGGTTTTCTTTTATTTGTTTTTATCTTATATTTTGGAAATGTACGCCCAGGTTTTTTCCCTTTAATTTTTTTTTGGGGCCCCCAAGAGACTGGATCTGGCACTGGTCTCTCCCCACACCACACACTTCCCTGGACCTGTTCCACCCCCTAAGTGTTTCCCCCCTCGGCTGAGAAGTGTCCTTGACTGCTTGGGAGGACAGACCAGGGAGTAGAAACCAGCCGACAAAATCGAAGCCAATTGCTCTTGCAGCGGCTCTGTTAAGGGTTTCAGGCAGAGATTATTCCCAGTCCTACCTGGAAATGCAACTGGGACCTTCTGCGTGCGAAGCGGGTGCTCTAACCACTGAGCCCCACAGCCCTTCCCAGACATGCCGCCATTTAATTACATGTTTTTAAGAAGTGACGACCGCACGCAGCACAAGGCGTCCGGAACGGGGGGAGTCCCTAAGTTGAGTCGGACCCCTGGGCTTGAGCTCCGGGTTACACCCCTGCAAGGGAAGAAGGGGTCCCAATCCCTCACCTCCAGCAAGTAGTCCGAGGAGTCATGCAGGGCCATGATGAGTGTCCCGGCCCGGATGTAGTTGGTGTACCACGAGAAGCTAATCAGGACGATGGTCGCTACGTGGTGGATGACCTGTTCCTTGAAGTCCTGCCCAAAAGCAAAAAATCAGCCAAAGCGTAACAGAAAATACCTATTTCCCTAAAAATCTTTTCAGGCTGTTTCATATATTTTCTTTTACAGTAAGTTAACTTAGATCACTGTTACTACAGACCAGTTTTTTCCAATTCTGAATTGAGACGAGTTTGGATTTAACTGTATTATTATTATTATTATTATTATTATTATTATTATTATTATTATTATTATAATATTGCTCTCTTTATATGTTACTGAGCTTTTAACACTACACCGAATGCAATGTTGTTAACATTTAACACTTGTGTTCTCCTGAGCCTCTCTGAGCTCAAAATTCACTGTCAGAGAAGGAGTATACAGTGGTACCTCGGAAGTCAAATGGAATCTGTTCCGGAAGTCCGTTCGACTTCCAAAACATTCGGAAACCAAGGCGCGGCTTGTGATTGGCTGCAGGAAGTTCCTGCAGCCAATCGGAAGCCCTGTCAAACGTTCAGCTTCCAAAAGAACGTTCCAAAACCAGAACAGTCACTTCTGGGTTTGCAGCGTTCAGGAGCCAAAACGTTCGAGAACTAGGCTGTTCGAAAACCAAGATACGACAGTATGAACATTTTATATCTGTCTGTGTTGAAACCCTAGGTAGGGCTGATGCCTCTCTGCTGCTAAATTGAAATTTTTGTGTGTGTGTATTTAGACCTGTTGTTTCTGAGAGGGCCAGTTGCTTTAAACTTATTTTTCATATTGTGTCTCGATTTCAACAGGTTTAAGCAGAGTTCTCCTGAGTACCACGTTGCAGGGGTTGGTCTGGATGACCCTCAGGCCCCCTTCCACCTCTAAAATCTGATTTTTCTTTCATATACTTTCCCATCACTTATTTTTTAGCTATCCTGGAAGTTTAATGATAACACTCAACCTTATGCTGCCATCAACCTGCAGTGATAATATGTGTATCTCGTTATGGGGATATATATATATATATATATATATATATATATATATATAACTTCGTTGAATCTAAAAAAATAAGATCAACTTCCACTGATCAACTGCAGATCCAGCAGCAAAGGTCAGACGCTGTCTGCGCTCCCCATGAGCCAAGCATTCGACTCACCTTCCTCTTCACGTCCGAGGCGATGCTGAACAACAGGGACCAGTAAAACGAGAGCTCTATCATGTAATACCAGTACTGGGACGGCAGCAGGTTCTGGAGAAGGGAGGGAGAAAAACCCCTCAAATATATCCAGGTCGTTCCGTGTCCTCAGCCAACATTTTTTTAAAAACCCAGTTTTGTGGTCTCCCCATCCCAGGGAACTATAAGAACACAAGGAATGTCCTGCTGAATCAGACCAAAGGGACTACCTCTCCTGTTCTTCCGGAGCGCTTTCTTTTCCTCTGCCCTCCTCATCCCTCCCTTCCTTTTGTGTCGTGCCGCCTTTGACGGCAAGCTTCATTTATTTAAAAGCATTTTTCGCCGCCTGATGTTTCACAGTATCTCTAAGCAGTCGACTGCAGCGGAAGGATTACGGTCATCTCGATCTCGCTATCCCCCCCCTTTATAGTTATGTGCTCCTTATTTCATGGTGTATTGTAGATATTTGTGGATTTTCTTGTCTGTTTTTTTATTTAAAAAAAGATAAATGCAAAGGTTGGGTATATATAATTTCTAATGCACACACCACATGAACAGACAGGGCTGTTGTCCCTGCTCAAGTTGCTCGCGAACCCTGCCTACCCCCCTACCCCATTTCCAACCCCCAACCCGTGATTTTACACCTCTCCAAGCTGTCCCCTCCCAGCTGCATCAGGCCCACATTCTCACAGCTCTGTCACGCTCTCTGCACATCCTCAGAGACACTCTGTGTGTTCCCCCACCCAGCTTTATTCAAACCTCTGCTGTTGTTTAAAACCCGCATTTCTCTTTTAAATCCTCCCTGATTTCATGCAACTCCAGGATGGTGACGCCACACTACAACTCCCACCCCCCAACAAAGGCTGCGTGACAACAGCCTTAGGTTTCTATATGTATATGAAGATATTCCCCCCCAAAAATTAAATTATTATTTTTTAAAAAAGCAAAGGTTGCAGCGTAAAAACTTGGCTAACCTGTGTAGGGTATCCTTCCCAAACTAGCCTGAGGTTGTAGAACCAAGGTTTCTGCAAGTTCGGGAGACAAAGGATGAAAAGACAGGAGCCGGTTAAGCATCAAGAAGACTCGCAGAAAAGGAAACTCCCATTTCCCGCCTTAGGTTGAGGAGGAAATGTACTCACGTCAGCTATGACGGCCGTGCCAGCAATGAAAGCAAGAAGGTAAAAGGTGAATCTCCAACTGGAAAAGGAAGCACAAAGTCTTGTTTCTCATCCCCTGAGCAAATGAAGCACACGTTCTCAGGCATGTCAAGAGTGCCACTGGGGGCGTGCGGAGGGCCTCTGACGTCTGCCAGGAGTGGTAGGGTGAGAGGCAAGGAGACAAACAGTAGGGGGAGCCAGAGAGCCAATGGATTGGTTGTAAGGAAGACTCTGGCTACTAAATGTTTTGGACTTGTGCGGCTGTGACACTCGCAAAGGCAAACCGTCTGCCTGAATTTGTTACCCTCTAGGTGTTTCTGGGCACCCAGCTGCCATCAGACAGCATGCCCAATGGTCAGGGGCATTGGGAACTGGTCTTCCAATGGATGTGGACTGTTTTGGCAGGCAGAGAGCGTTGAGGAAGTCTGGCCTGGGGCAGACAGCTGCCGACCCCTAATCCAGCGACGCTTTTGCAGATGGGAAAGTGTGCATGGGGCTGGGGCAAGCCTGCTATTCACCCCAGCTGCACCTGCAGGCCTACCTGGCCTCCCGAAATTTCTTGAGCAAGCTGGGCCGGTCCTGATTGCGCCGCCGGCGGAACCAGCGCTCGACCTGCCGGGGGCTGCAGCCGCTTTTCTTCGAGAGGCCCTCGATGTCTGCCTGCAGGGGTAGAAGAACGAATAAGAGGGCCCAGTCAGAGGGAGGAGAGAGAGCTTAGGGAAGAAAGCCGCTGAAATGCAGACAGCAGCGACATTTGCTTTGCTTTGCCATCTCTACCTTGAGACACTAGATTTCTAAGTGCGTGGATCTCATGCCTTCTTCCCAGAAAAAGCCGTTGGTTTTGATGAAAGCTTCCAACTGGGGGTCCTGCCTTGGGAAATGGCCTCTCTAGTTGCAACATCAGCCTGGCAAAGACTTCTTGATTTGAAGATGTGCTGGTTTTTAATGCTTAAGAACTCAACTGACCCAATGCAGTTTCCAAGCTATTTTCCTGCTGGAGTTTGGCAGCCCTTTGATTCCCCCATTTTTATATTTTATACGGTTGGCTTTGGGTCACCATGTCCTGAATCTCAAGAAGGGGACATTTCCAGGCCAAGAATTCCAGGGATGAACCCGAGATCTTCTGCAGCCAAATTTATGCCACTGGGATGACGATTTTAGGGGAACTGCAGGGGTGAGCACACCCCAAGTGCAACAGAGGAACCTCACCCTGGGAAAACCATCTTCCATTCAACAGGGGGAAAGAAAATAATAATAATAATAATAATAATAATAATAATAATAATAATAATAATAATAATAATAATAATAATAATTTATTATTTATACCCCGCCCATCTGGCTGAGTTTCCCCAGCCACTCTGGGCGGCTCCCAATCAGTGTTAAGAACAGTACAGCATTACATATTAAAAACTTCCCTGAACAGGGCTGCCTTAAGATGTCTTCTGAATGTCAGGTAATTATTTATCTCTTTGACATCTGATGGGAGGGCGTTCCACAGGGCGGGCGCCACTACCGAGAAGGCCCTCTGTCTGGTTCCCTGTAGCCTCACTTCTCGCAATGAGGGAACCGCCAGAAGGCCCTCGGCGCTGGATCTCAGTGTCCGGGCTGAACGATGGGGATGGAGACGCTCCTTCAGGTATACAGGACCGAGGCCGTTTAGGGCTGTAAAGGTCAGCACCAACACTTTGAATTGTGCTCAGAAACGTACTGGGAGCCAATGCAGATCTCTCAGAACCGGTGTTATGTGGTCCCGGCGGCCTGCTGCTGCTGAAGCCCGTCCTCCTGCTGCTGAAAACACCGGTTTCTCCCAGCCCTGCCTGGAGATGCCACTGGGACCTGGGACTTTCTGCAGCGCTCTACCAGTGAGCTATGGCCTGTCCCCACCTCCATCCAGACTGAAGCAGCAGCAGCGATGCAAGAAGGCACAGATTTGGCTCAGGGGCTGCCAGCTGGCAAAGGCATACAGGAGATGGAAACCTTTTTGCTCTTGTTTATAGGCTTAATTACCCAGATGCACCAACTGGGAGTTCAGAGCGTATGTCCACAACAAGTATTGGCACAGGCCGTGTGGTGCCAGCAACAAGCCAATTGATTTTTCATCTGGATGCCTTGATGGGAGAAAAGGGGAGCCAGAGGCTCGGGCCATCAGCTCTGGCAGAAGACCAGCTCCATTAAGTGCCTCCTGACCCAGGACTTTTTCTATGCCAGCTGGTCACTGCAAGAGTTACTATTAAAAAAGTGGTGCCTGGGCGTGTTTTTCCTCTGCCCTCCCTGTCCCTTCTTCCTTGTGTGCCGTGTATTTTTTTCTTTTCCATGACTGTGGGCAGGGACTGTTTTGTTTTAATTGACTGGACACTGGGAGCCTTTCTGGCTGAAGAGCGTTGGGTACAAGTGCTCTAAATGAGAGAGCTGAAAGAAACATTTTCCATGTCTCCGGGTAGAGGGCGACCTTCGAGTCTCCTCTGTGAAAACCTCCTCTCACGTATTGCGAAAAATCCTGACCGCTACCACTGTCATACCGTCCATTTAAGTACTACAATACCCCCGCCACACAGGAAACCTTTGTTCCCTTTACAGAGCTAAAATTCCCAGAGTTCTCTATGTTTTTAGAAGGTTCCTGTTTTTATCTGTAAGCTGCCTTGAGTCCCGTCAGGGAAAAAGGAAGGGTACAAATTATTGTTATTATCCTTATTAGGGATGGATCATTAAACCGCTCTGGGAATTGTAGCTCTGTAATGGTACATCAGTCTTCTAACCACTCTCAGTTCCCAAACTGACAAACTACAGTTCACAAACTACAGTTCCCAGGATTCTTTGAGAGGAAGTAATGGCTGTTTAAAGCAGAATTATAGTATTTAAATGTATGATACAAAGAACATCTCCACTTCCTTCCTCTCAAACATGACTTCCCTGGCCAAGTTACCTGTTTGGGGTGTTTACAGGACGTCGTATAAAATTTCTCTAGGACGGGATTCGGAGTGGCTTTTAACCGCACTTTCTCCTTGACGTTCAAAAGACCTGCTAGCGGAGTTGCCACGTATCTGGGGGGGGGGGGAGAAGGGAACAACGGAAAGGGAAGAGAGGGGACGAAAGAAAAGAAACACGACGTTAGGATTCTGCAGCAGTTTCCGGGGCCAAAACAGAAACGGCCGTTAAATTTTACGGACTTCTGCAGCAAACCAGGGCTTCCTTTGAGGAAGGTCTGAGCGCCGAAACCATCAGATACGGCACGAATTAGTGGAGTGATACGGAGGTGGGAGCATGTCTTCTTCACCCCTTCCACCGGTCACCAGAGGGTCCGAGACGATGACCTCAAGGGCACTCGGCCCTACATGGACCCCTCAGCCCCCCCCCCCACTGTTACACAAGCACCGATTTTCTTGCTTTTGGTGCCAATCTGCTGAATTTCCCTAGGACTCCCCGACACCTTCACTGTCCACCATAATCCCTCAAGCAAGGTGTCACGTACACACAGGAAGACCCTAATCCCGTCAAATCACTCTGCCAAGCCTTTCCTCCGGGCAGTGCCAGGTGGCAGACTTTGCATACCTGGACTATTGTCCTTTCATCACCGGTACACTTATCTGCGCATATCTCCAGCTCTGCATATTCCCCCCTCCCTCCTCCATATGTTAATCCTGTGTAACCCAACCTCTCCTTAATGTATTCATAATGTAACCTGTGTAACCCAACCTCTTCTTAATGTATTCATGATGTAACTGTGACGATTTTTGCACTGTATCTTGGGACATGGAAGGAAGTTTTAAAAGTTCATGTCACCCCTTCCTCGCTGTTCAATCTCGCCTTGAACCTGTTGCGCAATAAACTTGGATCTTCTGCATCTTGCTCCTGTCTCCGGCTGAGCTCATTTTCCTCCGCAGGGACCCGCGGACTTAGTCCGACGAGCTGGGTGGCAGAGCAGCCTCGCACCCAGATTTCACCGTAACAGGAGGAAGCTGGCTTCAGACAGAGTCCGACCACTGGAGTGCATCCAGCTCAGGACTGCCTACACTGACTGGCAGCAGCTCTCCAGCGGTTCAGACAAGGGGATCGAGCTCGAACTTTTCTGTCTCCGAAGCAGAGGCGCCACCCCTGATCTACGGATCTTCTTTCAAAACAATACTAAGATTCCAGTCCTCATGGTCCTGAACGCAGGACCGATTTAACATTTAACTTCTTGGCAGGCTTCGGGCATGGAGTCTTTTTCCAGTCCAGTCATGGGGGGTTGCTGCAGCCCTCTTCCCAGGAAGAAAGCAAGATTCTAGTCCTCATTCTGCATAAAGGGCTGAACTGAATGCAAAGAGAGGAGGCAGCCTTATACTGCCCTTGGTCCATCTACTCAGTATTTCCTGCACTGACTGGCAGTGTCTCTTTGGGGTTTCAGACGGGGGGTGGTATTCACAGCCCCACCTAGGGATGCCAGAAATCGAATCTGGGACTGCCTGCATGCAAAGCAAGGAATCAGGGATCCCGGTAGATGCTGGGCCTCACATGAATTCATAGAATTGTAGGGTGGGAAGGGACCCCCAGGGTGATCTAGTCCAACCCCCCCTCCCTGCAACACAGGAATCTTCGCTAAAGCATCCCGGACAGATGGCCATCCGACCTCTTCACCCCACATAAACCAACCCGGCCGCTTCAATCTGCAGAACTGCTGCAAGTTCCCCCTAATACCTGCTCTGCATTTGTAGGAAATCCCATTACACTTTGGAACTCCCTGCCTATTGACGTCAGGCAGGCTCTTTCGCTGAATTTTTTTCGGCGCCTGAACCTCTTTGTGCAGGCAGGCCTTATCTAGATGTGTGGAACGCCTGCAGGCGTTTTAATCCGGGTTTTCGGCTTAGATTATTACGTGAAGGTTTCCAACAGTCTCCCTCCTCTACCCGAGTGAATCTCAGGGTTTCATTCCCTGCTTCTCCGCTTTACCATCAAATAATAATAATAATAATAATAATAATAATAATAATAATAATAATAATTTATTTGTACCCCGCCCATCTGGTTGGGTTTCCCCAGCCACTCTGGGCAGCTTCCAACAAAGATGAAAAATACATAAAAATGTCACACATTAAAAACTTCCCTGAACAGGGCTGCCTTCGGATGTCTTTTAAAAGTAAAATAGTTGTTTATTGCCTTGACATCTGCTGGGAGGGCATTCCATAGGGTGGGCGCCACCACCGAGAAGGCCTTCTGCCTGGTTCCCTGTAACCTCACTTCTTGCAGGGAGGGAACCGCCAGAAGCCCTCGGAGCTGGACCTCAGTGTCTGGGCTGAACGATGGGGGTGGAGACGCTCCTTCAGGTCTACTGGACGGAGGCTGTTTAGGGCTTTCAAGGTCAGCACCAACACTTTGAATTGTGCTCGGAAACGTACTGGGAGCCAATGTAGGTCTTTCAAGACCGGTGTTATATGGTCTCGGCGGCCGCTCCCAGTCACCAGTCTGGCTGCTGCGTTCTGTAGTTTCCGGGTCACCTTCAAAGGTAGCCCCACGTAGAGCGCATTGAAGTAGTCCAAGCGGGAGATAACTAGAGCATGCACCACTCTGGCGAGACAGTCCGCAGGCAGGCAGGGTCTCATCCTGCGTACCAGATGGAGCTGGTAGACAGCTGCCCTGGACACAGATTTGACCGGTGCCTCCATGGACAGCTGTGAGTCCAAAATGACTCCCAGGCTGCGCACCTGGTTCTTCAGGTGCAATTTTACGAGAGGAATCCAGGAAGGCCATCCTAAACTGAGCCTCTGGAGATCTGCAGTGCTGAAGGGATTTGTTACAAGGGGGTACACAGCCCCCAATATCCCCCCCATCAGCCTGCCCCCCCAACCCTCCCCCCTGTTGAGCCTATCCTAGAGCTAAGGGGCGACTCTTCTCATGCTCTCTCCAACATTGCTGCACCGTAAAAAATAACATACACACAGAGGCCAGCGTCTCAAACAATGCTCCGATTGTCTCCATCCTCTGTGGAGAAGGAGGGGGTGGTGGAATGGTCAACCGTGATAAATAATTGCTCTTTAATTCTCCGGCCTGGACGTCTCAGGCCTGTCCGCGGGCGCTGCTGACTTCATCGGGATTGCCACCCCCTCCGCAGACAACCGCTGGCAGGTGACACAATGCCGCAATTATGCCAAGGGCCCACGGCTGGGTCAAGGCTGATGCCAGAGCCCTGCTGCCCTCTCCCCCTCTTCCCCCCCCCGCCCGATTTGCCTCCAATTGTTTCCTTAGGACTTGGCGAGGGATCCGGGCACAGGGAGAAAAGCGTCTCGCCTTTGCCCCAAAACTCTCCAGGAATCCGCAGCGCCCACGCAGGGCCGACCAAAGCGCGCCACCCTCCTTCCCAGGACGAGCGGCCAAGAGTTTGCAAGGTTGAGGCTTTCCGTGGGGACGGAACGGCCTGGCAGCAGGATCAGGCCAGAAAAGGTGCATTGGGTCCGGCGTGCTGTCCTCGCGGCAGCCAAATGCCCCTAAGAACCGAGGAATCCAGATAGACTGCCCCTGGACCTGGAGGTTCCACAAGTGTCTCTCTCTTTTTTTGTTCTAGCCAATCAGAAATTTGCCAGGTGTTGACCCCGTGGGGCCAGTCCCCGCCTCTCAGCCTAGCCTACTATGCAGGGACCTCGCTCCTTGTCCCCCTTCCCCCTGGTTTACCCCAAATAGGCCATCGTACTCACATCTCAAAGAGGTGCCTGATGATGAGGAAGACAAATGCTAGAGGGATGGTGATATACAAGTCGCTGGACTTTGGGGCCACGCGGCCTTCGCTGAATTCGACGTCCGCCCAGGTGAGGTTGGACGGCAACCAGAGCCGGTCCCACCAGAAGTAGTTGCATAATGTCTGGAACATCCTGGGAAAATGAAGAAAACAGAAACCGGGTGAGTGAGGAAAGGCAGTTTCCAGCTGGGAGAGACGACGGGCAGAGGGCTCAGAGCCCGTGTTCACACCATGTACAGTGGTACTTCGCATTACAGATACCTATTTAAAAGTAAAGGGACCCCTGACCATTAGGTCCAGTCGTGGCCGACTCTGGTGTTGCGGCGCTCATCTCGCTTTATTGGCCGAGGGAGCCGGCGTACAGCTTCCGGGTCATGTGGCCAGCATGACTAAGTCGCTTCTGGCGAACCAGAGCAGTGCACAGAAATGCCGTTTACCTTCCTGCCAGAGCGGTACCTATTTATCTACTTGCACTTTGACGTGTTTTCGAACTGCTAGGTTGGCAGGAGCAGGGATCCGAGCAACGGGAGCTCACCCCGTCGCGGGGATTCGAACCGCCGACCTTCTGGTCGGCAAGGCCTAGGCTCAGTGGTTTAACCCACAGCACCACCCGCGTCCCATACCCAGAATTAGTACCTCAGGTTAAAAACTTTTCTTCAGGATGAGAACAGAAATTGCGCGGCGGCAGCAGGAGGCCCCATTAGCTAATGTGGTACCTCAGATTAAGAACAGTTTCAGGTTAAGCGGTAACTCGAGGTACCACTGTATTTAAAGCCCTACGGTACCACTTTAAACGCCCGTGGCTCCCATCCTGCAAAGAATCCCGGGAACTGAAGTTTGGCTAAGGGTGCAGAGTGTTGTTAGTTGGGGAACTCCAACGCTTCTCTGCTGCAGCTACAATTCCCAGAGCGGTTTATCCATCAATCTCTCTTCGCAGGGAGTTCTGGGAATTGTACTTCAGCAAGAGGGAATAGCTCAGGCACCCCCAAACTCAGCCCTCCAGATGTTTTGAGACTACAGTTCCCATCATCCCTGCCCACTGGTCCTGTTAGCTAGGGATGATGGGAGTTGTAGTCCCAAAACATCTGGAAGAAGAAGAAGAGGAGTTTGGATTTGATATCCCGCTTTATCCCTACCCGAAGGAGTCTCAAAGCGGCTAACATTCTCCTTTCCCTTCCTCCCCCACAACAAACACTCTAGGAGTCTTGGTTGACCACAAACTTGACATGAGCCAACAGTGTGACGCGGCAGCTAAAAAAGCCAATGCAATTCTGGGCTGCATCAATAGGAGTATAGCATCTAGATCAAGGGAAGTAATAGTGCCACTGTATTCTGCTCTGGTCAGACCTCACCTGGAGTACTGTGTCCAGTTCTGGGCACCACAGTTCAAGAAGGACACTGACAAACTGGAACGTGTCCAGAGGAGGGCAACCAAAATGGTCAAAGGCCTGGAAACGATGCCTTATGAGGAACGGCTAAGGGAGCTGGGCATGTTTAGCCTGGAGAAGAGGAGGTTAAGGGGTGATATGATAGCCATGTTCAAATATATAAAAGGATGTCACATAGAGGAGGGAGAAAGGTTGTTTTCTGCTGCTCCAGAGAAGCGGACACGGAGCAATGGATCCAAACTACAAGAAAGAAGATTCCACCTAAACATTAGGAAGAACTTCCTGACAGTAAGAGCTGTTCGACAGTGGAATTTGCTGCCAAGGAGTGTGGTGGAGTCTCCTTCTTTGGAAGTCTTTAAGCAGAGGCTTGACAACCATATGTCAGGAGTGCTCTGATGGTGTTTCCTGCTTGGCAGGGGGTTGGACTCGATGGCCCTTGTGGTCTCTTCCAACTCTATGATTCTATGATTCTATTCTATGATTCTAGGTGAGTGGGGCTGAGAGACTTCAGAGAAGTGTGAGTGGCCCAAGGTCACCCAGCAGCTGCATGTGGAGGAGCGGAGACGCGAACCCGGTTCACCAGATTACGAGTCCACCGCTCTTAACCACTACACCACACTGGCTCTCTGGAGGGCCGAGTTTGGGGATGCCTGGAATAGGGGGTCTCTCTCCTGAAACTCTCAGCATCCTTAACAAACTACAACTCCCAGAATTCCTGGGGAGGGGAAGCCATGCCCGTTCAAAGTGTCATCGCAGAGCTTTGAATGGATGGTGCCAAAGAAACCAAAGTCAAAATAGTTCCCCCTTTATTTAGACTTTAGAGTGATGTGTTTCCACTACACCAGAGCAAGGAACCATTTACCCCACAGCTCAGGGGCCACACTGACTTGCAGGGGACCCCCCCCCGGGGTGGCAGTGGGCGGAGCCAGGGCAAAAGTGGGCGGAGCCAGAGAGGCAGGTGTTCCCTTTGTCCAGCCATGCAACTTCAGAGGGTTGCAGCAGACTCACCGGAATGAGAGCAGACTCACCGGAATGAGAGCAGACTCACCGGAAACAGCGAAATATTCAACACAACTAACTTTGGTCCATTGATTTCAATGGGTCTACACAAAGTAGAACTTAGTTGGAAACCAAACAGGGGTTTCTAGGCACACACACCTCTATCCAAACAAGCAAGGGGACTCGACATGCCTGAAATAATAATAATAATAATAATAATAATAATAATAATTATATATTTATTTATACCCCACCCATCTGGCTTGGCTTCCCTAGCCACTCTGGGCGGCTTCCAACAGAATATTAAAATACAGTAATGCATCAAACGTTAAAAGCTTCCCTAAACAGGGGTGCCTTCAGATGTCTTCTAAAAGTCTGGTAGTCGTTTTTCTCTTTGACATCTGGTGGGAGGGAGTTCCACAGGGCAGTCTAGCTGCTGCATTCTGGATTAGTTGTAGTTTCTGGGTCACCTTCAAAGGTAGCCCCACATAGAGCGCATTGCAGTAGTCCAAGCGGGAGATAACCAGAGCATGCACCACTCTGGCAAGACAGTCTGCGGGCAGGGAGGGTCTCATCCTGCGTACCAGATGGAGCTGGTAGACAGCTGCCCTGGACACAGAATTGATCTGCGCCTCCATGGACAGCGGTGAGTCCAGAATGACTCCTAGGCTGCGCACCTGGTCCTTCAGGGGCACAGTTGCCCCATTCAGGACCAGGGAATCCTCCACACCTGCCCTGCCTCCTGTCCCCCAAAAACAGTACTCCTGTCTTGTCAGGATTCAACCTCAATCCATTAGCCGCCATCCATCCTCCAACTGCCTCCAGACACTCACACAGGACCTTCACCGCCTTCACTGGTTCCGATTTGAAAGAGAGGTAGAGGATACAGACTTCCCAGGTAAAAGTTCTCAAGGTGTTCAATGTGGCCTCCAGCCCTCCCTACCTGGCCCCCAGGACCCTCCCTCTCTGGCCTGCCTTTCAAGTGCTTCTGATTACCGCAAATGGATCCTCAGAACCGTGATGCAAGGAAGTATATAGAAACCTCTGAATTTCCGGGGGCTATTGCCTTTGGCCCTGGCCACCACCACACGCGGCCCTCGCCTGCAAGGAACCTGCCCCTCCAGCTGAAAAAGGTTTCTCCTCCTCGTGCCTTGCATGCCCCAAGTAACTTGCGCCTTCAGGAATAACCAGAGTGCCTCTAAGCATATGCAGAGTGCCATGCGTCTCCAAGAAACGTGACACACACACACTCTGCATTTAGGGGGCCGGAGTGGACAGGAACTCTGGGTAAGCTCAACAAATTAAAGGCAAGTGGTTCTGTAGGAAGAGCTAAAGGGGGGGGGGCACCCAGCGCAGCACCCTGGGAGTGCCAGGAACCCACAATCAGGACCCCAGGAAAAGAGAAGGGGCTGGTTGGGTCAAAGTGCCCTTTTGATTACCCTCTGCCAATCTCGTTAGAATAAATAATAACGAGTTCCACTGGCGCTGATGAGTGGCATCTCCACCCGGCTGGCTCCTCCAGCCTTCCTCAGCAGGTAAGCAGATGATCTTATTTATTGGGTTCACCTTTTTCTCCAAGGAGTACATGGTTCAGCCATGCTCCTTGGTTAATCCCTACGACGACCCTGTGAGGTAGGTCTCACCAGAGTGGCACATGCTCCGGTTATCTCTCACTTAGACTACTGCAATGCGCTCCACGTGGTGCTACCTTTGAAGGTGACCCGGAAACTGCAACTACAGTCATACCTCGGGTTACAGACGCTTCAGGTTGCATTTTTTCAGGTTACGGATGTGCCGTAACCCGGAAGCACTGGAATGGGTTACTTCTGGGTTTCGGCGGCCGCGCATGCGCAGAAGCGCTAAACCGCTCTTTGCGCATGCGCAGAAACGTTGAATTGTAAGCCGCACGTGCACAGGTGCGCTGCTGTGGGTTGCGAACGCTGCAGGTTGCGAACGTGCATCCCACGCGGATCACGTTCGCAACCCGAGCGTCCGCGGTAATCCAGAATGCGGCAGCTAGACTCGAGACTGGGAGCGGCCGCTAGGACCACATAACACAGGTCCTGAAAGACCTACATCCCAGTACATTTCCGAGCACAATTCAAAGTGTTGGTGCTGACCTTGAAAGCCCTAAACGGCCTCGGTCCAGTATACCTGAAGGAGCGTCTCCACCCCCATCGTTCTGCCTGGACGCTGAGGTCCAGTTCCGAGGGTCTTCTGGCGGTTCCCTCCCTGCAAGAAGTGAGGCTACAGGAATCAGGCAGAGGGCCTTCTCGGTGGTGGCTCCCGCCCTGTGGAACGCCCTCCCACCAGATGTCAAAGAGAACAACAACTACCAGACTTTTAGAAGACATCTGAAGGCAGCCCTGTTTAGGGAAGCTTTTAATGTCTGTTGTTTTATCGTGTATTTTAATATTCTGTTGGGAGCCGCCCAGAGTGGCTGGGGACGCCCGGCCAAATGGACAGGGTATAAGTAATTAAACTGTTGTTGGTTATTGCTAAAGAGGCTGAGGCTGATACAAAGGTCACCCAGTGAACTTCATGGCGGAGTGGAGATTCAAACCCGGACCTCCCAGGTTCTGGTCCGACGCTCTAACTGCTGCACTGTCCTGGCTTCCTAGAGTACTTCTGCTCTATAAATTAAGGAGGCAAATAAAACTGGGGAAAGCAAAATGTCACTTAAGAGAAGGAGATGGGAGTATTTTTTTCTGGAAGCTTGAATTGATTTTGGTTCTTTATTGATTTA